GAAAAAGTGCTATAATTGATATTTGAAGTAAGCTTTCTGGCAGAAAAAGTGTTCACATTAAAAAAAATAAAAATCATTGTAAAACTAATGCATTCCTCGCAACGCTCGGAGTTTAAAATACAAATAAACTATACTACACTTTTTTTCATCAAATACACCGTATGATGAATCTCATCCTGTAGAATTACTAAGCATTTACAATGGATGAAATCAGTTTTATCCGCATATGAAATCAAATAAAAATTAAAAACTTGAAAAAAAAAAAACTAGAAAACGTCAACAATGCTTATAGACAACGCGAAAATCGCCAGAATATTTCGAAAATTGTACCAACACCTTGTAGAAACGGGAAACGGTAGTTTTGTCAGTCGATTTGTTATTTTTCAGCGTACGCGTTTGGAGTCGATCGGATAATAAAAAGGAGACGATCCGGGTTGACGATTCGATGACTGCGTTGGAATAATTATAATTTCGCAAGCCGCTCGTCACTGTCATAATATTATAATATTTACTGTTTTTGTAGCATCTGCAAATCGCCACGGTGTAATTTTTCGGTTTTTTTTTTTTTTAAACGAGACCGCGGAGAAAGTGCCTTCGTATATACGTAGCGAAACTTTGTTGTTATTGTCGTGCACGACAAACGCCGTCGTTTATAATTCATAAAAAAAAAAAAACAACACAATAAATACAATGTCGTTGACACTGTCACAGTGATCGTTGGCCGTTAATTCGATTTCCATTTCAGTTCGTCACACGTTTTACCCGCTCTCCGTGAGGTTTTTGTATAAAACTATACCTGTATATTAGTATACGTACATAATATAATAATACCTAATAATATTATCGTACGATAATAGCGTCAAGAAAAAAAAAACTATCCGAAACGCCTAGTCGGTACCTATCCTCGGTACTCCCGCTCCTCCTGTTCCCTGCACGCTCGTCCTCTCGTCACCGTCCTTTCGTCGCGGCGGGATGTCCGTGTAATCGTCCGACTGTAAATACGATAAATTCGTAACCGCGCACGAATAATACAATAATTATTATTGTGTACACGACCGGACGGAAAGGGTCTCGTTGTCGTTTTTATATTGTTGAAAAAAAAAAAAACCCCGACGGCGATTTTCACTAAATTATATTTGTTTTCGACATTATTGTCGGGCATACAATAATACGTATTAAATACTATATAGGTACGACTCACTGTATACGATATACAATATTGTATACGTTCACATATCGGACGATTTTCGACCGCACGACGTGTCGGACCGTGTTTTTTTCGGAGGCCACCCAAGCCTCAGCATTAACGATAAGACGTTTCGATCACGATTCTCGATCTGCAAATAAGTCAATTTTTTTTCTCTTCTAAATACCTTTCACAATCAAATTTATGTTGTCTGTTTAAATGATTGTTTTTTTTTTTCTTCCGTAACATTTAATTCATTCGACAAACAATAATAATATATAATATAGTGAACGAAATACGAACGGCGTATAAACAATACCTACAATACTATGGCAGTGTAATAATAATACAATTATAATATAATTATAATAATAATAATGATACCAGCGATTATTCGATATCGTCGTAAAATCGTGAAAACGATATCTTACAAAAACATGAATCATTAAACGATTCGCGAATAATATATAGGCGTGCGCAGGATTTTTTTCTCTGGCCGCGCACGGTAATATAATAATAGTATAATTTTTATCATTGGCCGAGTCCGAATTAAGACGTTTTTCGGCCACACATCGAGGCCGTCAAAATAAACAAAAAAAAAAAAAAAAAAAAAAATGATTATTCCATATGTTTTAACGAAATTAAAACAATACACGTAACACGAAGATTTATAGTTACTTCCACCGAACGTCATCTGCGAAAATATATGAAAAGCAATTAATTATCACAAAATACGAAGTTATTGATTAGAGCTAGAACATTGATGCACTAAGCGTGCTCATCCCAATTTTTCAGTTAAATTTTTTATACATTCAAATACTGATGTTTGGAATTTTTAAGTGTAGTTAAAACCTATATTTTCGTATGATAAGATTTTTCACAACATTTAAGTAGGTTGCTATCGTGAAAGTCAAAAGTATAGGTATATATAGTGATGGTCTAGCCCTGCTTCGAATAAGAACGACAAAAAATAACCGAAATGTAAAATTGTAGAGCTACTTAATTCGTAAAAGATTGACAATACGGATATGCAGAAAAAAAATTAACGGTTTCCGAGATATAGAGTGTGTGATATAGAGCGCTGTTAATATTAAATTTTATCGATATATATATATTTTTTTAATCGGTTTAATCTTTGAGGGGGAAATCGATTTGTAGTCAATTTTTATTTTTATTTTCATCTCCTAAAGAGAAAAAACAAACAATTTTTTATTTATTTGCTTTAGAACATTTTCAAAATAGCCAAATGAACAAAAATTTTGAAATATAATCCAAGAAAGACGCCCTAGGATAATGGGGACGGGTGCAGCTGCTGTTGTAGATAATTTAATGTATATCTGTTGGCAACGATTAACCACTGTTAACGAACAAACCATTCTGAGCGAGATTCAGTTGATAATTTATCAACAGTTTCAACAACTTTATCAACAATATATATGTCATTATTTATGGTAAAATAATTAAGTAGGCATATATTATCTTTAATAATATTTGTTTAATGTATCCGTTTATCCCGGTTTTCCTATTTTCCTCTGGTTTTTCACATTTTCTGTGAAAACTCCTAAGAAAATCGAAAAATGAACTTTCTAAAGTAACTTCCCAGTTAAATTTCATTTTGGAAACATTGATATCGTGATAAATTGGATCAAAATTGCTTGTAGAAAAGTTGTCTACAGAAAAGAAAAATCGTAATATTATACAAATATATTTCGTAAATGTTCCCGTTTTTCCTCAGTTTTTTTTTTCGGTTTTTCACATTTGATGAAGACCCTTGATAAAATCGAAAAACTCTCTCCTCAATGAACCTCCTTACGCCGGTTTCCTTTCAGAAAGGCGCTACACGTAAAAATCGTAGCAAGTTCCCAGGTAGAAAAGTTATGCACAGAAAAAAAATAAAAATATACATCTTTGTAAAACCGTATAAGCTTCTTCGCTCCACTCAGAACCTAAAATTTTAATGCACTACACATTCATATCCGATGAATAATTTCTCAGTTATAACCGTTTTAATTAGTCGCGAAAACAGTTGATATTTAATAAAATGACACGTTATGCGATAAGGAATTACAATCAGCACGGTAATTCTTCACCTTCTATAGTGAATATAATGATTGTTTTCACGCCTATTTTCCAGAAATTAAAACGGCTATAACATTCTTCACAAAATAGCTATTTTGAAAATTGTCTAAAGTGAACAAATAACTCACCAATAAAGGCAATGCGGTTTCCTATGTACGACCGGCCGCAACGACTGGTCGGCAATGACCGATCCGTGTACTTTAATCTGGGGACGTGGTTTCTAATGTGCGTTCGACGCGTGCGTGGTGTCGAAAGTAGTCGTTGCGGCCTGCGATAGCTGCACGAGTCGCAAGCGTGCCGAAATATTTTCCGTCATAATAGTTTATTTATTTGTTCGTAACAATTTGTGTGATAATATTATTGTGGTTGTATAAACAACAATTGTGTCAACAACTGTGCAAAGTTGTAAAATTTTCTCTTTTATTATTAGTTACCGCACTTACTCTCCGTCGGAGTTCGTGTAGTACCTGTAACGATAATTATTGAAAAAAAAGAAAAAAAAGCGCTCTACTCATAAATCTCGAGACAAAACGGACCGGTACACGCCAGTCGCCAAGCGTATAGTCGCGTTTATAGGAAACCAGTCGCGGTACGCAACTTGCTTTTATAGTCGTCGCGTTCGGCCGTTGCGGCCGCAGTCGCACATAGGAAACCGTACGTTCACGCGCTATGTGGCAGATCGCCGCCCTGTGTTGTACACAACGGACGGCGCGGCGGCAGCGCGTGAAACTGCTAAAACATACAATACAACCAGGCGAAAACCGACGAGAGCGGACTTCTCGTCTTTGAAAGGAACGTTCTGAGAAGAATCTGCGGACCTGTGAACTGGAGAACACGGCGAAACGAGCGACTAGAGTCACTATACCAAAAACCGAGCATCGTCGAAGCGGTAAGAAATAAGAGACTGCAATGGGCAGGGCACGCTTGGAGAAACCGAAACCGATTATCCCGCACGGTATTATAAAAGAACCCGACAAGAAAAAGACCCGCTGGACGACCGAGAATGAGGTGGGAAAACGTAGTGAAGAAGGATGTGGAAGAGCTGGGAGGACGAACAGATTGGACGGCGCGGGCAACTGATCGGGATGGATGGAAGGCTGTACGTATGATGGTATGGTCCTAGAGGTCCCCCATAATAACCTCCCCCCCAATAAAAAAAAAAAATTATGTTAATAATATAACTAGAGCACGGGCGTTGTAGTAAAAACTAGTAAAAATTGAACGCAGTATTGCACCGAAAATATTAAAAAATGCGCTAAAAACCACACAGGTATACAACTGAAGTATACATATTTAAATTAATGTTTAAAGGTAAACGTTTAAATAAAAAAAATACTAAACCTTATTAACGTATGTTTCCTACATATTTACAACACTATTTTTGAGGACATAGGACAATGCATCAAAAAAGAGTACGTCTGATCGCCATAACTATAGCTAAAATAGTTGTATAAATTAAGAGAATTCGACAAAACTGCGATAAAATTGAAAAAATTCCAAAAATTGCGAAAAATCGCACTTAAAATGTCTGGGCTCGTACTTGCACGACACGTATTTAAAAATTGCTTACAGCGGTAAGTAATTGAAAGGGTGGGATAAAAGTTGCAAATGCAACGACATCCGCGCCCTGAATATAACATATTATATTAGCGTGATATCGTATAACGACTATAGACACGCGCTTAAATAGGTGAACACAAACGTTTATTGCCGCGGACGAAATAGCTTTTAGAGTCTACAACTCCGGGTCTGCCGGCTCGTTGAGAATCTCGTTCCAGGTCTTGGACCTGGCGACGATCGTGCCGTCCATTTTCACGGGCGTGGACGGCGCCCGCGGTACACACGCGTCTATATAGTCCAACTCGGTAAACTCGTCGACGGTGTTGGCGAACTGGAAGCCGTGGTGGGCCATGTATTTGTCGACCTTTCGGCGCATACGGTTGCGAATCCGCACCGGGCTGGAGAAACGCTCGATCACCGCCTGGAACTCGGCCAGGTTCAGCGAGGCCGGCTCGTCACGCATTTTCGCCCACTTGCTCAACACGAACATGGCCGCGTACTTTTTGCCGTTCTTCAGACCGCACTGGACCATCGCCGTTTCCATCAGGGACGTTTTCAATTCGGGCTCGCCGTCGGCGTCGTCCATCGGCGCTTTGGCGAGTTCGTCGAACACCTGCCGCGATCTGATCGCCGTGGCGCGCTCGTCGTCGGGCAGGTCGTAGGTGACCGCGGCCCCGCCGTCGTCGCGCGGATCGCGCACGTCGAGGCGCCTCCGCGACAAATCGATCAGACGTTCCGACGCCTTCCAAGACATGGCCGGACGAGACGGCGCGACTGTCGGCCCGCGAAACCTTTCGGCGGTTTACTACGTGCGTTTCGTATTCGTCGGTGGTGGTGACTCCGGTCCGACGCGTCCGGACGGTACTGCCGTCGTCGTCCGCAGTAACAATTGTCCGGTCACGACGGTTCTGTGGTCGCGTTCCGCACAAATAACCGCACGCCGTGGACCACGTCACGTGCGTACATCCGGGTCCGGGCGTTTCTGCGTATCGTATTTGACAATAATAATAATAATTCGCTGGCGATGTTCTACAACGCGCGTCCGGCGTGTTGTCCCCGTGTTTCGTCGCCGGTAAAACGCGCGTTTGTTTTGTAACCGTCCGGGATAATCACTCGGTAACGACCCCGGGGTCAGTTTGGTGTTTAATTTACAAACAGCCGATCGGTCGCGCGGTGATTCGACCGCGAAACCTGTCCGGACGCGGGAGAAAAAGTCGAATCGTAGGCGTTTTATTGTCGCGGAGTTCTTCTCTTCTCCGCTCGTGAAACACGGGCGCCTGCATAAGAGTTTGCTCGCTGTTTCACGCGTACACGGGAAATATCGACGTCTTGCTCCGGTGTACAGATAGGAGTGTGACGCCTTTTCCGAGAGGCGATTTTCTCCGGCCGGTGCATTAGAGAGATCCGCGTTTTTCGATTTTCCAAGCGGGGTTTTCGGAATGGCCGGGAAAATAAACCGGATAGGAAATTACAGGTGAAACGGTAAATATCTACAGCGCGACCTTGTCGATTTCAATCGTTTTTAATTAATACCTAATATATGTTTTCTGTCTCAAGAAAACGACAAGCGACCGCGATCTCGTGGTCCCTTTGAATATCTAGCCGCTGACTGAGAATACGTCGTTCCGAAAAGCGGTTTTCACGATAACCGGGAGAATACGGGACGAACGCTCACGATTTGTCAAAATCGTTTTCTTTACGAGCCTAAAATATGTTGTAACGATGATATCCTACACGGAGGTACGCGCGTCGCAAACGAACCTTTTCGCACGGTGCGCAGCTGCCGCCCGCCCGCATAGGCGCGCGCATTTATTACCGCGGGCCGCGTCGTCGTATTATATTATTGTTATCGCGTAACGTGACTGCGGAAGAAAAAAATCGAATTCGTTCGGAAACCTCGGCCGGTATTGTACGGATCGCCCGGCACCCCGTACGTTACGCACGTCGCGCGTGTACAATGCAACACGCACGATACGGATGCCACACAACTTGTCGATTACGCTCTCGCGTTACACTCAATAAATTCTATCGGGCAGGCCCCGGTCGCGATTTTCACGCGCGATTCGTTTCGCGTGTTCCCGTCCCTGCCGCGCGCCCTGCGCCGTACGCGACGACGACGACGCGATTTGCCGCGCACAGCGAGCCGTCCGCCGCGAGTCTTGCGTCCTCGGAACCGGGGGCCGCCCCGCCGACGAAATTACGTTTTCTCTCTCTCGCGCCGCGCCGTTTATTATGCGCGTCCGTGTAACGCGGCGCGTACGACCGCGACGGCGGCGGCCGCGCGCGTTAATAAAACACGTACAATACGCACGCACGCACGCACGCACGCACGCGCGTGATATACGAGAGACCGTTCCGGTGGACGCGTATTTTTATGTGTTTTTTTTTTTTTTTCGGTCGCGCAGAAGGCGGGCGGAAAACGCCGGCCGTTGTTTATTGGGCCGCGTACTCGGCCCTCCGCGGCGGTTTTTTTCTCGTTCCGACGGGCGGACGGTCATCGCGCGGTCATAGCCGCGCCGCCCGCGGTACGGCGTGTCGAATGGATCGCGACCGCGATCGCGCGCGGTGCGCGCCGCCGCCGCGGGTACACGCGGTGCGGGCGAGACGGATCGCGGGAATTCCGGAATATTGTAACGTGCATTATGTTATCGGCGTATTTTATTTACCATCATTATTACCGCCGTCATTGTGACCGTCGGATGAAAAGCGAGTGGTTTTTTTCACGGTCCACGAAGCGCGGAGATGCCGTGGCGCATCAGCGCGCGAGCGCGCGCGCGCCCGCGACGGTACGTACGCGCGCATTGTAACGGCCGTATACCTCCCACACGTTTCCCGGTACGCGCATCACACAATAAACGGCATTACATGTACGAGGTAATGTCATTCACCACGGTACGCTGTCGCATTGTAAACGCGCGATGTCGCCCGGACTACCGTGTACCCGCCTACCCGCCTACCCGCGCCCGTCCGCCCGGGTACGTCGCCGGTGCCCGTGATACCGCCCGCGGCAACGTCGGGCGCGCGAGGGGGCGCGGATCGGTAACGTTGTCCCGGCCCGCGGAATAATGCGTCGCGCCGGCTAATACACGCCCCGCGGCCGGCGGTCCGTGTAATGTTATGCGCGCACCGGATAATATCGTGACGGACGGCGCGCGGTATTCCGGTCGTTTCGGGACGCGGTACGACAATGCGTATTGTGCGCGGTACAATAACCGTCGCCGTCGCACGATAACGATGACCGGGCGACGCTCACAATACGTGCGCGTCCGCGGCGCGTCGCCGCCCGCGGGGCGCTCGTCCGCGGACGCGGGCGCGGCGGACGACGGGGATGTGGGGACGGGGGCGGGGGAGGGCGCGAGCGCTCGCGCGACGATAATGTTATTCGGCGATTCGCGGGGCCGGCGGCCGGTGCGCGACGACCGCGGACGGCGGGGGCGCCGCACAATAAAACACTCGACGACGACGGTGAACAGCAAAAGGGATCCACCGCGGAAGAACGCGGCGGCGGCGACGACGGCGATGCGCAGCCGGTACATTATGCGCCGGGAGGGAGCCGATGCGCGCACGTCCGGCGGACGCCGGCGGGCGGGCGGGCGGGCGCGCAGGTACGTTGTAGAAACACCGCGGGCGCGGCGGGTAAAGGGAAAAACGAAATCGGGGCCCGCGGACCGGGAGACAGACAGAGATTAGTATATTATTGTAATACGCGTACGCGTATCGGTCGCGGACGTACGCGCGCGTTTGCGTGTGCGTGCGCATTATGTTAACAACGCGCCCGTTGGGGCGTCCCATTGTGCGGCGCGGGGGGAAATGTGTAAAAACCGAAAAGAAGAACGGGCGGGACCGCCGCGAACCCGATCGTTTACCCGCGGCAGCTGCCGCGACGGCGGAGTCCTCGGACCGCCGCGACAACAATAATAATACCCGAGGTATCTCGCGCGCGTACACTGCGGGGCGATCGACCGTCCTAGATAACAGGCTATCGCGGCCGGGGTTTTCGGTTTTCGTTTTGTTTTTCGGGAACGGGGGTCCAGACCTGTCCGGACATCGGGGCGATACGGATTATTCGTTTCACGCCGATTCCGCGATACGTAACGGTTTCCGAAATCCCCGGAGTGGAAAACGTTTACCGCGGTACACGAACCGGCCCCGACGTTTTTCCAGCGCTTTTTTTTCCCGCGTTCCGCAGACGTCCACCCCTCCCCCCTCGTCCGACAATAACCGGTCGAATATCGGGGGAAAATAAAACATGAAAACCGCGTCGACAACATACGTTTTCGGCGTACGGTAAGATTAAAAACCGTACACGGGCAAATAAACGTATTTGACCGTACGAAAAATTCAGTCGGTAACGTCGACTAAAAGCGATGATAATATCCAGGCGGCCTTTTAAAATAAATAATTGAATCATACGCTGATTCGTTAAATGGACGCGTGTACCGCGTCATTCAACGCGTGTATACGATTTGCGTAAAAGGTATTATCACGTATACGAGTGAAATTTTATTGTTTTCCGCGATAAACATCATCAAAAACTGTTTCGCTGTTTTTTCGCGAAACAGTTTTGTTTTATTTTCTGTTGAAAAAAAAAAAAAAAAAAGGGTTTTACCGGTGTACGCCCTTTTAACGGAACACCGTCGGCGCACTACTTATTGGCATCTCGCGGAAAGCGTCGACTCTCACGTCACCCTTATTTCCGAGGGGGACGAAACCGTCTGCACCACACTGTCCGCTCTTGATTTTCGAACAGCGAAAATCCCGTAAATACATTCTGACGGTGAAATTCCGTCGACCCGTCGACGCGACACATTCCGCCCGTTCAATTGCGGGCGTATAGGGGGAATAGAGAGTAACGCAGTTGGAACATCGTTTCTGACGCGGCGCGGAATTTTCCTACAAAGCGATCCGATTTTGAATGTTAACATATTTTTATGTTAATCGTAATTTTAGTTATATTATCATGTACAACCTTTGTCTCGCCAATTTTTTATTTATTTTCGCATCAGTTTTCTTGTTTCAATTCTAGCGTAGTTAAGCTATATATCATGCGTATTATTATAACTGTGTTATGCACGCGTTTCCGATTGTCTGTTTCCGAGATGTATTGTGTTATTCATCGTTTATTTAGGTATGATAAGAAGTTAAATTTATTTTTTTTTTTTGTAACATAACCGGCCATCTCCATCACAAGTTTGCTCAAACGAGATATAGATAAATCGCCGGAATTCCGTTTTAAATAATACTTTTGCACACTCCGTTTCGGTTTAATAAAAAACAAAAAAAATTAAATGGGTACGGTGTATACGCACTGTATACGTTCGTCATATGGGAAAATTCAAACAATTCTTTTGTCTCCTCTAAAACCTTACTTATTTCGATTCACAAACGGCTACTTGTGTTAAAAATCCCACGAGCACACGCGTATTACAATATCGGTTTTAATAAATATTTCGGCGTCGGAGTACGGAGGAAGAGCGTATACTGTTAGAGGAACTCCGCCGGCGGTGGACCCGGGTAAAAAATCGACGTTTGAAGGCACCCCCGTTATTGCACCGATACACTCATTCACTTCTTATTCTTCATCTTTGAACGCCGCCGTATCCGTTACCGAACGTTGGCCACAGCTCCCCTAAGCCCCCCATCCCTCGATCCGGCCCAAGAACCGTGCACACCGAAATTCGACCGGACGACGGATCTGTCGATACGACGAGCGCTGTCGTTTCGGCCGTCGAACAGCGCCGGATTTCGGACGGC